TTGTTAACAGCTAAGATAAAAAAGAGAGGGGGGGGGGGGGAGAGGACATCCCTGACTTATACCCAGAACTCTTCAATTTACCAAAAGGCTGCCCATTGATAATAACTGAAAAAAGTAGGAGTAGCTATGCAACCATGGATCAACTTAATGAAATGGGCATTAAAACCTTTATGAGCTAAAGCAGCATAAATAAAATCCCATTCAAGTCTATCAAAAACTTTAGCAAGATCAATTTTTAGCATGAAGCACTTTTGTTTGAAAGAATTTAAAATAAAGAGTGAGCAATCTCCTGGGCAACGATGTTATCACTAATCCTCCTACCCTCTATGAGAGCCTGTTGAGAAGGATGGATATAATCAGGTAAAGAGGCTACAGTCTGTTGGCCAAAAACTTGGAGATGATTTTGTAAACAACATTACATAAACTAATTGGTCCGAAGTCAGGGGGCATGTGGCAAAAATGTTTTTTTTTTGGAATAAGAGCTATATGAGTTTCATTAAGCTTTGGTGGCATAGTACCTGTTTCATAGAAGGTCCTGACCAATTGAGTTACATCTTCAGCTAGCCATCTCCATGCATTCCTATGGAAACCCACATTATATCCATTTGGACCCGGAGAGGCATCTTTCTTCATTTCTTTTATGATGTTCCAAATCTCCTCTTTGTCAAGTATAGAATTTGTGAAGTCCTGCACATCATGATTAATAACAGAAAATACGGCAGGTCTACCATGTGAAGGGCAACTAGATTGAAAGATACTCCCTCTGTTCCAGAATATAAGGTGTATTGGTTTCCGTGCAAGTCAACCATTTGAATGTTTGACCAAGATTATAGAATAAAATAACAACAACCGCAATACCTAGTAGATAAAATATGAAACTACTTTTCGTGATGGATAAAATGATATAAATTTCGTATTGTGAATGTCGATATAAAAAACTCGGTCAAACTTGCACTCGTTTGACTTTTCAAAAAACATATACACCTTATATAAAGGAATGGAGGGAGTATTACGGAAGTAAGTGATAAATTCATTGGCTATATCTTGAGGTCCAAAAAGATCTCTCCCTGGACTATCCATAATGGAGACAATCCTATTTCTTCTCCTCCTCTTGGTGACTGCCTGATGGAAAAAAGTTGTGTTCCTGCCACCTTGTGTGACCGAATGCTTTTTGGCTCTTTGCTTATAGAATTCGTTTAACTTTGTCATGCTTCCTTCATATTGGGCTACCGGGTTCGCTTCAAGAGCGTAGTCCTGTTGATCTAGAGGCTGCATCCGAATATCATTAATTTGATTCTGCATCTGATCAAGTTGCTGCTGAAGTGGCCTTTGACTTTTTGCACCACACTTTGAGAGTACCTACAAGATGGTTAGTGCGTACATGGAAAGGTTTTGTGGTAGTAGAAGCCCAATCATTCTTTGCAACAGATTGATAATCTCCCACAAAAAGCCACCAATTTTCAAATTTGAAGGTGAGCCAGGGCCTTTTAAACTTAGACTCAGTTGAAAGTAAGATATGTGCATGATCGCTAAAACTATGAATAATGGGCATGTTGAAAACATTTGTTGTGAGGAACAAAGCGCACCATTCAGCATTAGCAAGACAGAGATCGAGACGTTCAAAAATAGGACTAGAAGAAAATCTCATGTTGGTCCAAGTGTAAGCAGGTCCAGAAAAGCCCAGATCGAACAAGCCACACTGGTTTACATAATTATTAAAAGCTTGCATACGATTGTAATTAACGTTAGCTTCATAGGATTCTCTTTTATGCATAATATTATTTAGGTGTAGCAGCTTTACTCGTTCAGACAGGAGCAAAGATGAGCTCGCGTGCTAGTATATCCTTCTCAGTCCTCGAGTCCCAGCATATAGTATATTTTAACCGCACCATTTGCAAGAATGGATCAGAAGCTTGCTGGCGCGGCGCCATTGACGGACCTCTGAAGACCGGCTGGGCTCGCAGCACTGTTTCACACGGAGAGATGAAGCCCATCCCTCTGATGACGCCGTACACGATGGGCGAGTTCGACCTGTCGCACAGGGTCGTGCTGGCGCCGCTCACGCGGCAGCGCGCCTACGGCGGCGTGCCGCAGCCGCACGCCGCCCTGTACTACTCCCAGCGCGCCTCCCCCGGCGGCCTCCTCATCTCCGAGGCCACGCGGGTTTCCCCGCCGGCCTCGCGGCAGGAGGAGCCGGAGTCGTCCTTCGGGGACGTCCCCGGGATCTGGACGCCGGAGCAGGTCGGGGCCTGGGCGCCCGTGGTGGACGCCGTGCACGCCAAGGGCGCCGTCTTCTTCTGCCAGCTCTGGCACGTCGCCGGCGATGCTGCCCGGCAAAGGGAGCAGCAGGTGAGCCCACAGATGAGCTTCGACGGCCGCCGCAAGGAGCTGACGTCCCCGAGGAGGGTGGCGCAGGGGGAGGCTCCCCGCGTCGTCGATGGGTTCAGACGCGCCGCCCGGAACGCCGTCGACGCCGGTACGTGCGTCCGCGTGGGCCGGAAACCGTTGCTTCAGTTAGTACAGTAGGGTTTTCCTGCGCTCACTCCTTCCGTGCGCCATGGCAGGCTTCGACGGCGTCGAGATCCTCGGCGCCAACGGCTACTTCGTCGACGGCGATGGCATGGAGAACCGGTGCCGGTTCGCGCTGGATGTGGTCGACGCTGTGGTGCGGGAGATCGGCGGCCAACGCGTGGGCGTGCGGCTGGACCAGTTCAGCGCCGAGCCCGACGAGCACGCGCTGGCGCTCGACGTCGTGAGCCGGCTCAACGACCACGGCGTGCTCTACTGCCACATGATCGAGCCGAGGGTGGACGGACGGCGGCGCGTGTCCCGGCGGCTGCTGCCGTTCAGGGAGGCGTTCGGCGGCACGTTCATCGCCAGCGGCGGGTACGGGCGGGAGGAGGGCGACGCTGCCGTCGGCGAGGGGTACACCGACCTGGTGGCGTACGAGCGACTGTTCCTGGCGAACCCGGACCTGCCGAGGAGGTTCGAGCTCGGCGCGCCGCTCAACGACTGCGTCAGCGCCACCTTCCACGGCGCCGGCGCCGCAGCCGACCCCGCCGTCGGGTACACCGACTACCCGTTTCTCGACTGATCGAGCTCGAATACTGCTTTCGCCATTGGCAGTTCACCAATCCGGTCGTGTCTAACACAATAAACAATGATCCAATGGTGGCTTCAAATGTCCATTTCGGCCAGATCGAATATTTTATTTCAACTCGATCGAGATCCAAGGAATTTCACTATTTTAAAAATATGACAACATTGAGCGATGATGCCTTCACCTCCTTGATCCATTAAATCCCGATCAAGTGTCGAACGGACGGCACCCCCGCGTTCAACACACGTACGGCTTGATGATGCCTTCACCTCCTTGATCCATTGAGCGATGGTGAAGTAGCTAGTAGCTCAAGTTCTCCGGCAGCATGACGGCGTGGTGGCGGTGGTGGTGGAGCAATCTCAGCAGGGCTTCGCCAAGCCTAACGAAGAAGGAGAGGAACTTTGAGGGAGGGGAAGGGCAGCGCCATGGCAATGATGGGTGCGGCTGCCCTTCCTCTCCACCTCTATATATAGGGGGGAAGGAGGGGTGGGGTGCCCTAGGGATTCCCCTAGGGGCTGGCGGCCACCAGATGGGGCACCCCTAGGGAAACCCTAGGGTGGCTTGGCCCCCAAGCCATGTGGGGCACCGACCCTAGCTAGGTGGGCCCCTCCACCCCTTGGCCGAGTGGGCTGAGGTGATGGGGGCATCCAGCCCCTTGTGGGCTGGTCTGCCCCCTTCCCTTGGCCCATGAGGCCCCCAACACTTGCCCCCCCCCTCGAAAAACTTTTCGGTCTTCCGGCGATAACCTGGTACCTCCCGGAACACTTCCGGAATCCGTTTCCTTCGTCCTATATATCAATATTTAACTCTGGACCATTCCGGAGTCCCTCGTCATGTCCGGGATCACAATGACTAACACAATAACTCAACTATACTTAGATCGTCACCAAACGTTAAGTGTGTAGACCCTGCAGGTTCAAAAACTATGCAGACATGACCGAGACACCTCTACGGTCAATAACCAATAGCGGGACCTGGATGTCCATATTGGTTCCTACATATTCTACGAAGATCTTTGTCGGTCGAACCTCGATGCCAAGGATTCAGCTAATCCAGTATGCAGTTCCCTTTGTCCATCGGTATGTTACTTGCCCGAGATTCGATTGTCGCTATCTCCATACCTAGTTCAATCTCGTTACTGGCAAGTCTCTTTACTCATTCTGTAATACAGGATCCCGTGACTAACTCCTTAGTCACATTGCTTGCAAGCTCATTGTGATGCTCTATTACCGAGTGGGCCCCAAGATACCTCTTCGTCTACGGAGTGACAAATCCCAGTCTTGATCCATGATGTCGCTTGAAGCTACGTCGGTTTTTACCCCAAAGAGGAAGGGATGATGCAGAACAGCGGTGGTAGGTATTTCCCTCAAATATGAAACCAAGGTTATCGAACCACTAGGAGGACCAAGCAACACAACGTAAACAACCCCTGCACACAAGGAACAACACCTCGCAACCCAACATGTTAAAGGGGTTGTCAATCCCTTTCGGGGTACGGTACCTCAAGATAGACAAAGGACGTGAGGTAAATTTGTAGATAGGATAAATAGATCGCGGAACAAATAAATTGCCGCAAGGTATTTTTGTATTTTTTGGTTTAATAGATCTGAAAATAAACGCAAGGAAAAAGTAGATCGGAAGGCAAATATATGAGAAAGAAGACCTGGGGGCCGTAGGTTTCACTAGTGGCTTCTCTCGAGAAAAATTGCAAAGGTGGGTGAACAAATTATTGTTGGGCAATTGATAGAACTTCAAATAATCATGACGATATCCAGGCAATGATCATTACATAGGTATCACGTCCAAGATTAGTAGACTGACTCCAATCTGCATCTACTACTATTACTCCACACATCGACCGCTATCCAGCATGCATCTAGTGTATTAAGTTCATGGAAAAATGGAGTAATGCAATAAAAACGATTACATGATGTAGACAAGATCCGTTTATCTATTGCGGCATATATGGATCCCGTCTTTTTATCCTTAGTAGCAACGATACATACGTGTCGGTTCCCTTTCTATCACTGGGATCAAGCACCGTAAGATCGAACCCACTACCGGGCACCTCTTCCCATTGCAAGATAAATAGATCAAGTTGGCCAAACAAAACCCAAATATCGGAGAAGAAATACGAGGCTATAAGAGATCACGCATATAAGAGATCAAAGAACTCAAATAAGTTTTATGGATATAAACAGATATAACTGATCATAAACTCAAAGTTCATCAGATCCCAACAAACACACCGCAAAAAGGACTTACATCATATGGATCTCCAAGAGACCATTGTATTGATAATCAAGAGAGAGAGAGAGAGAGAGAGACAGAGAGAGAGAGAGAGAGAGAGAGAGAGAGAGAGAGAGAGAGGAAGTCATCTAGCTACTAACTACGGACCCGAAGGTCTAAAAAGAACTACTCACACATCATCGGAGAGGCACCAATGGAAGTGGTGAACCCCTCCGTGATGGTGTCTAGATTGGATCTCGGTGTTCTGGACTCTGCGGTGGCTAGATGAATATTTCATCGACTCCCGTAGGGTTTGTGGAATATTGAGGTATGTATAGAGCAAAGAGTCGGCCCAGGGGGCACCCAGGTGCAACCAGGGCCCGTTGTGTTCCTTCTGGCCCATAAAAATCATCGTAAATTGGCGTGGCATTTGGACTCCATCTAATATTAATTTCCTGCGATGTAAAAAACATGCAGAAAACAGCAACTGGCACTTAGCACTATGTCAATAGGTTAGTACCAAAAAATGATATAAAATGACTATAAAATGATTATAAAACATCCAAGATTGATAATAAAATAGTATGAAATAATAAAAAATGAACGTCGATAACTGCCACACGTGTGGCAGAAAAAGAGACGCACCACACGTCTCTAATGCAAATAGATTGTCACATCATCGCATGCATGCATGCAAGAATCTTTTTGGATTTTCAGTTTTTAAAATGTTTTATCTCTTAAATGAAAAATCCGATTGAAGATCCGTTTTCACCATTAAATCCCTCGCGACGAGATCTTCAAAAGTAGATCTCATATCAATATATTTCGGCGAAATTTTTTTTGGGTTAAAAGTTGCCATGTCTATTGCACATGAGTTGCCATGATATTTACACTAAAGTTGCCATGATATGTTTCAACTATTTTCTTTTATATTTAAAAGTAAATTTTAACATATTATAAAACAGAGAATTAAGAAACTAGACTTGCCATGCACCATAAACTAAAATTGCCATGATACATGCACTTAAAATTGTCATGGTTCAATAAAAAAAATATTTTCATGGTCAAAGTACTGGAATTGTCATCATCAAAAAACTAAAATTGCCATGATCTACAAACTAAAATTGCCACATGGCAACTTTAGTTTAAGCACTATGGCAACTATAGTGAAAACATCATGGCAACTTCTGGGCAAAAAAAAGAATTCGTCGAAACATATCAACATGGGGTCTAGTTTTGAAGATCTCGTTGAGACGGATTTAATGGTGAAAACGGATTTTTAGTTCACTTTTTTATTTAGAAGATAAAACATTTTTAAGCCGAAAACCAAAAAGATTTCTGCTGATGTCATCTATTCATACGTGGCAAAATGAATGGTGATGGAGGCGTGTGGGCAATCTGCAAATGCCCACACGTCTGGGCGTTAGTTTTTCCGTAAAAAATTATAGATACATTGGAGACGTATCAGCATCGCCAAGCTTAACTCCTGCTCGTCCTCGAGTAGGTAAGTGATAAAACAAAATTTTTGATGTGGAGTGCTGTTTATCATGTCATATCATATTCTTTTCTTCATAGCATGGACATTTGGACTTTTATGTGATTCAAAGCAATAGTCTAGTTTTGACATAATATTTTAGATACTCAAGCATATCAACAAGCAACCATGTCTTTCAAAATATCAATGCTAAAACAAGTTATCCCTAGCCCACCATACTCAAACATCGATCCATTCATAAAACACAATCGAATATTAGCTACACCCAATACTTAAGTACGATCATATTGTCCCCTAGTTGGTGCTTTTATAAGAGAGGATGGAGACTCAATTTCAAAAATAAAAATTGCATAAAGTAAAAGAAAGGAACTTCGCGGAGGGAAGTAGTGATTTGTAGAGGTGCCAGAGCTCAAAGCGAAAAATTAGAGATAAGAACATTTTGGGACTTGGAGCATCCATCCCACCAACGAAAGTGACTTGGAGCATCCCAACACTTTCCATGCTAGATATATCATAGGCGGTTCCCAAACAGAAGATAAAGTTTATTACTTTTTCCACCATAACTTTCACTTTCCATGGCCAGCCGTATCCACGAGTGCCCTCCATACCAGCACTTTCCAAGGAATTTATTATTTGACAACATAAAGTAAATTCATTTTTGCATTTCGGGACTGGGCATCTGTTGGGGAACGTGGTAATTTCAAAAAAATTCCTACGATCACGCAAGATCTATCTAGGTGATGCATAGCAATGAGAGGGGATAGTGTGTCCACGTATACTTGTAGACCAAAAGCGGAAGCATTTAGTTAACGCGGTTGTTCAGCTCGGGGACGTCCCTCGTACTCTTGATCCAGTTGAGGCCGAGGGAGAGTTTCGTCAGCACGACGATGTGGTGACGGTGATGATGAAGTTATGGCGCAGGGCTTCGCCTAAGCACTATGAAGATATGACCAAGCTGTGTAACTGTGGAGGGGGGCACCGCACACGGCTAAACAATTGTCAACTTGTCTGTTCTAGGGTGTCCCCCTACCCCCGTATATAAAGGAGCAAGGGGGGAGGCCGGCCGGCCCCTGCAGGGCGTGCCCCAAGTAGGATTCCTACTAGGAATCCTATTCCTAGTAGGTTTCCAACTTGGGGAAGGGAGGGGGAAGGAAGGAGAGGGAGAGAGGGAAGGCAAGGGGGGCGCCGCCCCCCTTCCTTGTCCTATTCAGACTCAGGGGGAGGGGGCGCGCAGCCTGCCCTGGCCGGCCCCTCTCTCTCCACTAGGGCC